CTGGGGCTTGCTGTGGTTGGGGCTGCAGCAGAAACACTCAGGTGTTCTTTCCTCTCCTTTGAGTACAGCTGCTGTTTGATACCCACAACTGCCAAAGCGGTGTTAGAATTCATTCTCCATCAGCAGAGGTGATTGTTTGCAGTGGGTTTATTCCATGTGACCTTTTGCTCCAGCAGCACTGCTGTAGAGCAGCTCCTGAAGTGCAGAACCAAAGCTGTGAAGTAAAACATGTTGTCTTAAAGCTCTCCAAGTGAGCCTCATTGAGTCACATAGACCTGTTCAGCACATGGAACACTGGCTGAAAAATCATCTGGGCTACCTAAAAATATACAGTCATAACATTTTTTTATTGGTAGTAAGCACTCAGAAGTATAACATGGTTTGGGAGCACTGAGCTCTCTTGGAGGTGTTGGCCCTTGATGTCACAGCCATGCTGATAATGTCCAGCCAATTTGAGGTCTAGCTGTTTCCTCACTGGGTATAAATTCCATTTCACGACAGCAATAATGCATTCCAGGCAGTGCATTTCAGGGTGATAATTATACATCTTGTGTGCTTAAATTTACTCCACCTTAGTTGTGTGAAAAAAAAAAAAAAATTGTACCGCTGTACCGCTGGCAAGTCTGGGAGAACTTCTCGGTTTCCATGAGTTTAAATAAAGAAAAAGTGAGGAGGGAAGCGTGTGAGTTGTGCTTCCTCCCCTCCACCCTCTGCCCTTTTCTTTTTTTATATTTCAGCGAGATCCTTGTGGAATAAAGGTAGGATGTAAAATGAGTTCAGATTTGGAGGTAGGGCCTGTGCCAGTATGTCCAAACATTTTCAGCTAACTGGCCACTGCCAAACCTCAAATTCTTCTGTGGACCGCTGTCTGCCCTTGTCATTCAACTTTTAGTTGAGAACTGTACTAGAGAGATGCACTTTGAAGTCTTTGTTCTTCTGCTCCTGTAAAATGACAGTCCACAGAAAGCTGATGGCCTCTGAGGTCACAGTCTTCAAACTCCTATCAAAGTGATGAACATGGGAAGACAGAACCAACCATAATTGTATTATGTCTTACCTGTTTGATCACTTCTTAAAAGTGTTTCATTTTGAAGAGTTCACAGTCTCCTCCTTTGTTTACTCTGGATCTTCACCATTCATACTTTTAGAAACCTTTGTTAATACCAAATCTAAGTCTTTCTATTAACTTAGTCCTAAACACCAAGGGCGTAGAAAACGTACTTAGTTTTTGCAATTTTCTATTGTATATTTAAGACAATTAGTATGGCCCCTCCATCCTCCTTTTAGTAATCAAGTAACCCCAATTCTTCCAGTTTTTCCTCTAAGGCATATTTTGTAGGCTTTTAATATGCAGTTCTCCAGTCAGAGCTGAGGTCTCAAGGTTTGAAAGAGGAAGGAGAATCTAGTCGCCTGCAGACTGCTTACCTTCTTTGTCTTCTTTTTCCAACGTGTCATTTGAAACACTGCATGATTCACCCTGTAATCCACTATATAACCCCTAGATCTTTTCTATCTAAATACTTCTCTAGCTGTTCATGCAACAGTTAATTCCTGTAAAGAGGCAATAAATAGTCCTCTGCCCCATGGAAAGTGTGCCCTTCTGACTGATAAAATAAATGTGGGAGGATTATGGTGTCTTTTATATCCTCTAGTGCATTTAGAGATTGTCTTATTTGTGTCCTCTTCAAATCTGATTAATAAGTTGGTTTTCATATTTGATAAATACCTTTTGTATCTTTTATGGATCATTAGTGAAAATACTGAGAAATACTGGATATAAGAAAAGCCCTTTAGCCATTGGTTGTTCCCTTCCAAAAAGAGAATTGTATTTCTCTTTCACCTAGTCTATGCTTCCATAATTTTCTCCAGAGCATATCATGTCATACAGTCTGGCACATTTCTTGGATGAGCTATATTACAACTATGACTTCTTTATCCACATGTTCTGTTATGTGGTTGTAGGAATTACTTTGGTCTTGCACAGTTTGTTCTGGCAAATGTAAACTGGCTTATGTTTATCACATTGTTTATTTTCTAGGTATTTACAGATGGTTTGTTGATTATTTGTTTAAGCATTTCTCTGGTATCCTGGGGTTGTATTGTAAAAACTTCCCCTTTCCTCTTCTGCCTCTTTTTTGAAGATGGACACCATTGTCCTTCCCAGTCTTCTTTTATATTCCCTCAGAGACATCTTTCTTATAATATCTGTCCATAGTTCAAAGATTTAATTAGTAAATTTGTGCTGTATTTAAAAAAATTCATGCATTTTACAATCTTATGTGGTCTATAATCTGAGAGTATTAGCTCCAACTATTTTAACATGGAAAATATCCAAATTATTGTTAACCTCTTCTTTTATTTGAAGCTCATGCCTCATTTTGTTGTAGGAATCAGTAGTATGATTTTTCTGAAAAAAGAAAAAAAAAATTAAGCTATGGCTATCTCAGTAGAATATTTGTGGATATATAAGAAAATAGCTATTGCCATGTAAGCATTTTTCTATTAGATATGACCTAGCAGAGAGAGTGTGTTACAAGGAAACAGTCTGTGTGTGAAGTTAAAAGTAATGCAAATTGGTCTTCTAGCATTTTCTAATAGAACTAAAGTAAGAATCATATGTATTGGCTGTGTTTAAATTTTATGAACTGTATGACCTGTGCATGGTATGGAACGTGAGGAAACTAGGACAGGAAACATTTGTTTTCCAAAGTTTCTAAGAGAACACCTCCTAATCTGGGGTCCATTGATCACTTCTATGCTTCTGAGAAACCCTCTGAGACCTTGCTAATTGATTATAAAATACTCCTTGGATTTCAGCAAGCGCCAGAATATGCAGTGCAAACCTATCAAATGAAGAAACTGCTGATCTTGAGTCCACTTGTGCCTTTTGGAGTTTTTCTGTATATATACACCAAGGGAGCTGTATGCTGCACCCAGGGCATGTCCATTTCTACTTTTTACTTTTATTCAGCAGAATGATCTTTTCCATACATTCAGGAATATCAGAGGAAATTCTACTTAGAGTGACATCTCTTTAAAACCAAGTATTTACCAAGTAAAAGGAAGACTCTCTCCAGCATCACCTTCAAGCTGAAAATAATACCAAGCAGATGAAACTTCTACTGCAACCAGAAACCATTATATATTGTTCTAATACCATTTATTTTTCCATTCCTCAAATTATTGGGGTTGTGTCATAAATACTCCTGCAATTGTTTAATTTTACTTTCCTTAAGATCTTAGACCTTACTCTAGTTTCAGAGGATGCAGATCTGTGTATTGCAGACTCCAGAGAGATCTACTCCATACTATTCCTCAGGTATTATTTGGTAGCACTTATTACTTCCAAGACTCCTGTTATTGTAGTTTCATTTGTGAAAGGTCACCATTCTCTGAATTATATTCAAGATCTGTTTCAGCTTGTCTTTTATGTCTAATCTTGTCCCTTGTCCCAGAGTCATGCTATTCCATAGGGAGGTAGCCTTTTTGGTGACAACAGTACTTATAAATCATTTACAGAGAAGTGTGTAGAAATTTCTCCCACAACAGGTTATTTCCAAACATCAGTGCTTAAATGCAACAAGTGGTCACAGTAGCTATAGTTAGAAAACATTTCTCCTGAAGAGATTTATTAGATTTCGGCATCTTCCCAAAAATGAATATTTTTGCTAGGAATCTCAGAAAGCCATTGCCAAAAATGTATTTTGTAATATTTTTAGAGCCAAATTGGGATTAAATAGTAGTCAGGGAATGGTGCATCAAAACAGGAAGCTGGGTACAAGTTGAAAAGGAGAGGATTGCTCTGCTGATTTTAGACAGGGTCACGCTATGAACTTGTTTTCTCTGCCACGCTCCCCGCCACATGAAGCTGCTGAACGAAAGTGTGTCAGAAGCAGGAGCACAACACAGCAGTGCTGCTGACTGCTAACTGGCCAGAGGCCAGGATGCCTGTCTTCCAAACACTGCCCTGGAGGGAGAGATGTATCTACACCCACCTGGTCCTATACCTTCATCTGTGTCCCTGCTGCAGCCACAGGTAGGTCCCTGTAGTGCAGGGACTTCTGAGGATAAAAAAAATAAATGATGAAGGAAGGTGGAAGTCTGTCCTGAAATAAAATTTAAGGGAGGCAAGGCAATGTAGTTGAAAAGAGGAAATTTGACAATGTTGGAAAAGGCCAGGGTGAGGAAGACAGACAAGGCCACATCATTCAGTTCAAGGTTTAATTATTCTATAGTGCATCATGAGATGTAACAGTAAGCATGGAGAGGGAAGAGCTGTCACCTGCCCAGCTTCTGGAGCTTCCTTGGTGAGCCTGTGTTTGGGGAAGCCAGCAAGTCAACCAGTTGTTGCATACCAGCAGCAAAGCAAGCTCCATCAGCAGCAGCACGTTAGCAGGGACAGAAGTCCCTGGTCTCATGCCGGGTCCATGGCTCACTTGCTGCAGTTGGGAATCAGGCCTGTCTGCTAAAGCTCTAGGACTCTGTTAATTTTTTATTTTTACAGGAGGCTGAAGGCTTTCAGGATCTATTTGTGGCTAGGCTGAGGCAATACTAAGGAACACAGTTGGTCCCAGACTATGCATTGGCTACTCTCTCTACCTAGAAATGATTTGATTCTTCAATCAGTTCTGTGGGCAAATCTGGTTGCATGGTGTTTTTCTGTCACTCAGGGTCATAATCTGCCTTAAAATTCAAATTTTCTCTCATAAAAGAACAATGAATGGGACAGGTTGTTTACATTATTGTTTTCCTGTTCCTAGCAAATGAAGGTTCAGAAGTCATAGTGTGCAGGTGGAGCATTTCTTTAACCTACAGGCAAGTAATTAGCACCTTTGCTTCATGTTAGCATTCAGCATGTGGACCTTATTGCTTCATCAAATGTCTGAGGGTCCATCTGGTTTTCATCAGCTGAACAGCACTATTTGACAATGAGGGGGAAAAAGCAAGTTTTGCTAGCAGCAAAAATATAATAATAATCTGTTTTCTTTGCCCACACCTCTTTCCCCACTCAATCGCTCCAGCAGCCATCTTCTCTTTGTACCCCTTCCCTAAGAAAATAATGTGAATGATTCCAGTAACTTGTATATCAATCAATAATGTTCTGGTGTCATAGGAGAATAAGACATGTTGACAACAGGAACCACCTCAGCTTCTCCACCTGGATTTGTCACTATAGGTGAGAAAGTTTTTGTAGGAAAATCAAGGGTACCAATTGAAACAGTAGTTTGTGGTCCTTATCCGAGTCCTCTTCAAGACTTCTGGAGTGATCCTTTTTCCTGAAGCATCTTCTTAATGCAGCAACTCTCCTTCTAAGTAGTTGGACTGTGTTTTTATAATTTTTAAACAGAAACAGACTCTGAAAAGCTGTGGTACAGAAGCTGTGCTGGTCTGTGGAGGCTTCTTGCAAGGGACTTTTGGGCTTTTAGCAATTAACAGTGAATGCCATCCATCTGCTTCTAGTATCACTCATGCCAAAGGTATTGGGTCTGTCTCCTCACAAGATCAGCTCTCCTGAGCAGATGGATCTGACCCATCCAGGTTTAAGAAAATGGTTCTCAGATAGTTTAAACAGAAGGTTATGACTTTTTTTCTACTCTACTCCCCTGCTCTCCATGCCCCCCTCATTTAAGCTACTATGTCAAACACTGAGTGTGATTAATGATGACAGAGATTATTGTGAGCATAAAGTTCAAGAGCTTAGCTGTTTATTTGTTTAAGAAAGTTGTTTTCTGAGTGTTTCTCTATATATCTAGCCACATGCTTAGACTGAAATACCCCAGCACAATCACTGGTTTGTACTAATATTGTTTTGACAGCAAAGAATGCTTGTAAACATCCAGGATGAGGAGGGGAAATATTCAGTGTCTTAGGACTCATTCCATTTTCATGTGGTTTGTTCTGCTGTCAGTGGTGTGGGAGGAAATTCCTGTCGAATAACTGAGGAGACACTGTAAGCAAAAGTACCACAGCTCAGGTGAGTAGTGCTGGAACATAGGCAGGAGGTTAGAGGCAGCTGCTGGCCATCACCTTCAGCAAATAAGCGTGGAAGGCAGACCCAAATTCAAAATTTTCATTACAGGTCCAGAAGCAAAAAACCAGAAGATGGTTGCGTCTCTACATTGCCCAAGAACCCTGCCCAATGTCATCGTTGACAAGCCAAGTCATGGATTTACATAGCTGGCTGCCTATATCTGTTGTCCTGTCATTTCTCAAAAATGTTGGATTTAGTTTTTCGGTTGTGAAATTTACTGGAACTTTGCTTGGTCTTCTAATACCTAGAAACAAAGCTGTTAATTAGCTATGCACTTGCAGTACCTGTCTTTCACTTATGGGTGTAACTGAGGTCAAGATGTGACTCATGAGCTGTAGGTGCAGAGCTTTTGGTTATGTTTTGGGCAGTGGGAAAGCAAAATGATTCTTCCTTCAATTTAGCATTCTCTCTATTGGCCACTCTGATTTTCTAAGTTTGATTTAACAGCTCTCCTACATTTTAGCTGTTAATCAGAATATATTACGAAAAGGAAGAGAAACAAAACCTGCCCAAATAGCTTTCAGGTGAATCTAACTGCTTTTCTAAATAGCTCTGCCCTTGACTATTTTGTTAAAAATTTGAAGCAAGGGTTCTGGGAAAGAGAATAGTCTTTAAATTATTGCTTCCTTTTTAAAGCTATCCCCATGATACACACATCAATTTTTTATGAGAGCAGTTCCTTTGAAAATTATCTTCTTGTGTTTTCTTTCTTTCCAAATTTATTCTAACTGAGAATAAACTGATTTTTCATTATGACACTCATTTCTCCAGAGAATAGTATTGTTTTTCTTTTATTATTTTCTGGTTCAGTCCATTTAAGTCTTCCTCCCCCTCCATTTCCTTACTGCTCTAAGCAGAATTGGGGGTTAGTAAAGGAAAGTAGTGTCTGGGTTGTGTCCAGCTGTAAGCTTCTGGCTCGAAAAAACCCCAACTAACAAAAACAACAACAACAAAAATCAAACCAACAAAAAACCAAAAAATCCAACCCAAAAACAACCCCAAAAAAACAAACCACCCTCAAAACCCACCCTTGATTTCTTGTCCTTAATGGGTTGATTACCAGATTACTTCTTTACAATTACAGCACTTGTTTCCTGTTTTCAAAGGCTAAAATCAGCTGCTTAAGCATGACTAAAAAAAAAATACCCCGGGTGCCTAAATTAGTTTGCCTAGTTTGAGCAATAACAGCCCTATCAGACTGCAGGTGTCACAATACCCACACACAGACATAGAGCAAACTGGAAAACAGGAGGCAGCCTTACTGAGCCCAAAGGAATCTTTTTTAGCAGAGTTCATACTTCTTAGCTCATGAGGTCAGGCTATAGAAAAGCAGCTGACACTATGATATTGAAGGCTCCAGTGGTTTTCCTGCAGGAATAGATGGATGACCTGGTTGTTTTATATTGCTGACTTTGTCCATTAAAACAGCAAAGTAAAAACTGGTTTTCCTCATGTGGGTTTCTTCTTAATGAAATTTGTTCCTTGTCATCAAACCTATTTGTATGTTTTTTTACCCCCTCGGTCTCATTTTTCTTAATAGTCTCTTTACTTCCTGGCTTTACAATTTCAGTTGTCGGGATAAAGTTCATTCAAGGCTAAAGTGTTCTGACACAACTCATGCCAAAAACAAAGGGAAAATAAAAGAATTTATTAGGCTTTATCTCTGTGCCATATAATTTCACTGTAGGGGTTAATTCTTTTTTAAGTTCTCAAATTCAAAGAATCATGAATGATCAGACATATTTTCAGATAACAAAACTCAGGCCTAATATCAATGCTAGGTTTCAGCATTAGTGACTGAGTTCTGTGGTGTTTTGTGGGAGGTTCTATTTAGGTTAATCTCCAGAATTTAAGCAAATATTTTGAGAGGAATCACATATATATCTAAGAAAAGTCTTAATACAATTCCTCCTACATATGGATTATACTTAGTCTTCCATAATGCTTTTCCCCCTACAGGTAACTTTGTCTTCACATGCTTAAAAGTATCAGGATTAGAAAGACAGACATTCATCCAACCTCACATCATTTTCTTACTGTTATGATCAGATCAGTCATTCAGACAACTCATCATATAATTTAGGGATAATTTGAGTCTACTCTTTCCCCATTCTTTCTGCAGCCGTATCACATATGTCATATGTGTAGACAGAGGAGCTTACTCACTAAAAAATAAATCCTTTTTTTGAGAAAACAAAAGCTAAGAAAGAATAAAGTGCAACAGGAAAGAATATATTAGAGAGCTTTTGTTCTGTGAAAGTAGCTTTTTAAAAAAAGTTGTTTCATTTTTTATGACCTGTTTATGACTACAGAAGAACTGTAGAAGAAAGATGCTGACCAGTATACATTTCTCCTGATAAGAGAGACTGCATCAGCATCAGAGAGGCCAGATAAGCTGTTTTCCAGAAAATTCCCCACAGGAGTAATTTAACTGACTTATATAATTTCTGTGTAAATGTGCTCTAGGTATTACTTTTTTACTTAAAAGTCTTCCCCAACCTCCCCCAGTTATTTCCTTTTTACGTGCTATATGCATACCATAATTCAAAGCAGTTTAATTTTGGAATTATCTAAACCTTCAAACAGATGCAACTGAAATATTTCTTAGTACGGGTAAAAACGCAGCTGAAGTGGAAACCTTACCTAGTGCTCCTGACTAGAATCAGGCTACATATTCATACCTATACCTGTTTGATTTCCTAGTGTTTTAGAGTTGGTTTAGACCCATCTTAAGTGCTGTTTAAAACACAGCTAAACTCTCACAAGAAAGATGATTTCAGTAGAATTCTACTCTTTCAGAATTGAATGCTATTTCATTTTGTTTTAAGCTCAGTCGAGGCTGCTGTCAGGTTACTCCTCAGTTTGACTTTGATTTGCAAACCTGAAACCCAGCAGCAGGTAAGGACATCTTGGACTGTGTTCACTAAAAGCTCTGGTGATTTTGAATCCTGCTAAAGCCTTGTGGAGAGGAGGAACCTGTGTTCTTTTGGGTTAGCTACTCCTGAGCTGTTTCTCACCTGCAGGCCACATCTGTCTAACTCATCAGCAGAAATGGGCATATCTGTGCCCAGGAACAAACTGCTTTGAGATGTTCATGGAAAATCTAGGAAATCCCTGTCACTCCCCATTACTATTTGGCAATCACTTTCCCTGGGAACCTGCTTTTTGCTGGAGCAGACAAGCTGTCAGCCCTGCAAGAGGTCTTTTTGTTTATGTATCTTTTCTGTTCCTCTGTTTACTTAAAAGGACAGAATTGTCAGCTCTTGTAAGGCTGGTCTGTATAACTGATGGCCTATCCACCTCAGACTTGCATCTTTTTAGCTTTTTTTTTTTTTTTTTTTTTTTTTTTTTTTTAAGAAGAATCTTATCCAAACACAAGTGAAATGGGCAGATTTATGAAAGAAAAGAAGAGCAAAGTGGAAAAGGAAGTTTATGTTTTTTGTAGAGACTTACTGCTGTGCAAATGCAGTGAAAGAATCTCTTGGCTGTTTGGGCATTTGTATAACAGCTAGAGACGCAGAGCAATTAGATTTTCTAAGTATAAGCAAGAGAATCTGTTTTGTTTATACAGAAAAGTCCCCCAGAAGAGAGGCAGAAGCAGAGACATAAGTAATAAGTGCATATGTTTGGAAAGAGTATAATGTACTTATAAATATTATAGTGGCGTCGCTACAGTTAAGGGTCTGGCAAGACTTCTGTTGTAAACCCTTCTTGTCAGAGTTTCAGGACAGAGCTGAAAAAATTCCAGGCTGTAACTTGGCATGTGAGGGCTCAAGGCAGGAGCACAGGTTTCTCTTCTGCCCCCTCAATTAATTGTTATGAAACTGGTTGTCAATAGGGAAATATTAGGCAGAGTATTCACCTTTCTCTCTGAGAAGCAGAGAGAAACGTTTTTATTCCCGTCTTGCCCGAAGAGCTGGGATACTGAAAATGTCATCAGATTGTACTGCAGGAAGAAGTGCCAGTGTGTTGAGGAATGGTAGATAGAAACCAGCTGTCCAAATGAGCAACACCTTTCATTTTCGGATCCAGTCTACATGTCTCTAGATGTTTGGTTACCTAAAGAGAAGATCATGCAAATTTTTATGAAGTTGACTTCATAAAAAATGCCACAAAGGGAATAAAAAACAATTAATGATTTTAAAACTAAACATTTCCCGAGTCTCTTCATCATTTACTGGCTGCATTTTGTTGATAGTTGAACTTAATGACAAAAGGAAGCACAAAGATCTGTTCTTAAGCTGCAGTCTGCAAGGCTGTGATGTTTTTGTGTATTAACTGGCAAATCTGGCACTAGTTACAAAGGCAAACTTAACTAAGAATAAAAAGGAATTCATCTGCAAAAAATTTAGGCTATACAAATAACCAACGAGAAAAACAATATTTTACATTTGGGCAGTGTATCTGCTCTTCAAATTCAACAAAAATCTCATTAAAAAAATCCACCCTATCCTGTTCAGCCAAACACCTTAGAATTCCTGCGCATAATGTCTGAGCTTGGTCTTCACAGCACAGGAGCTGCAAATCTGCATCCAAAGGATCAAACTGAACACTGAAAGGGATGGTGGATACATGTGCACTAAATATATTGATAGCTGTAATTACACAGGGATTTAGGGACCTAGTTTTGGGGCTAACATTTCATGTGAAAGTCACTTGATCTGCTCTGTGTGGCTTATGTATATATTACAAACCATTAAATTATCACTGAAATTGTTACCTTTTGGTAGTGCCTAAAGAGGAATGAATTTTACTCAGGTATCAGGTTGTCAAAAGCAATGTCACAAGAGACATTGTGAACTGCTAAGGCTAAAGAAAAGATCATCAAGACAATAAATCAGTAAGCTGTGCAAAATGTTTCAGTTGTGCCAAAAAAGATTGCAGACTACAAAACATGTGTTTTTACCATGATGGTTGCAAAGAGCATTTAAGCTGAAAAACTGAATGCCTTTCACTAATCTTATTATAAATGGTTAGTCAGGCAAAAATCTGATTTGCTGAAGGCACAGTCCCTTTTGCTTCCTTGCCCACTGCATAAAGTCATTGCCTGTGGGCCAGCATTTGTCCTGGGCAGCCCCACCCAAGTCAGTGATACAGGGTACAAGGCAGGGCTGGAATGGTCCCCTAGGATTCAATCAATGGCATCAAAGAAATGATACAGATCACCACATTAGACACCAGAACTTGTCCAGATATCTAGTGTGGTCGCCTGTCTCAGGTAGGAGGTAAGGAGGTTAAGCTAAGTTGCTGTTGGCCTACACATCTCATTGAAGTGATATTGGGAGTCTGACTTAAATACTGA